TGTCTATCAAGCCTAGTAAAGCGTGAAGTCCTGAGTTCAAGTCCCCTTACCACCAAAAAAAAAAAAAAAACCAGATTCAATTTTCAAGCTGGCTTGGTGGCACACACCTGGAATCCCAGCTACTCAAGAGGCAGATGCAGGAGGTTTCAGGCCAGCCTTGGCAAAGTTAGTGAGATCCTATCTCAAAAACAAAATAAAATGTATGCTAATTAAAAAGACTATAGAAACTCTGGAGACACAATGGAAATTTCTGGAGAAGTTCTGGATGGATGAATAACTAAAGAAATTGCCTCTCTCTCTCTCTCTTTCTCTCTCTCTCTCTTATATGTGATAGATGTATGGTATGTATTTGAGTACGTATATTGAAAGGAATATTATTAAACCTTTGGAAGGAGATCCTGCCATTTGCTACAATCTAGTTGATCTAAACGACATTATACTAAGGGAAATAAGCCAGACACAGAAAAATATCACCTGAGCTCACATGTAGAATCCAAAAAGAAGTGAAATATATAGAAACAATAAAACAGTAGTGATGGGGTGGAGGGGAGGGAGGAAAAAAATGGGAAGAAATAGGTTAAAAGGTATAAAATCCCAGATTTGTAGGATAAATATTTGTACAGATATAATTGTGTTGCCTTCAGGATTCTTGCTAAGAAAGTAGATCTGGGTTCTTTTGATTTAAGGACAATAAAAGAATAACTATGTGAGATGATGGATGTGTTAATTTGTTATTTTGTTAGAAAAGTTTCACTATGTAAAAAAATTCTAGAATTCAGAATGAAAAACTAAATAGAAGGGATCAACAACAGATTTGAACTGAAAGAAGAGTCTATGAGATTCTAGTCTAAGTAACAGAAAGAAAGAGCAAGAAAAATAAATGGAACCTCAGAGACTCATGGCACACCATCAGGCTTCAGATTTATTCATAATATATGTCTTAAAAGGAAAAGAGAGAAAGAGAAGAAAAGGATATTTGAATAACGAACCCAAACTTTTCAAATGTGATGAAAAACTGCATAAAGTCCACATATCCAAGAATCCCAACAAAATTTAAATAGGAGACGCTCAAAGAGATACACACCAAGACACACCAGAATCAAACTACCAAAGGTCAAAGACAAAGGAAGATTCTTGAAAGCAGCAAGGGAAGTACTTTATTACACACAAAGCCCCACCCTGAAACCTGATTTCCCAGAAGCCCCTTCTGGAAACATTCCAGATGGAATTTAGATTAACAATCATTTGTGAGTCATCAACAGTGCTACCTATTAGTGAAGACGAAGATGGAAGACGGTGATGTGTTTCCAAGCTTTCAGGTGCTCTCTCCTTTCCATAAACCTCTTGGGTCTTATCTGGGGCCCCATTTTAGCCCCCCATCCTGTAAACCAGAACTGAGAGGGCACAAAGTGATCACTGCAGCAGTGTTTGGGTGAACCTGTGAGGATACATCACTAGGGGGTCTGATGCAACAATGACTGCCTGCCCTCTGAGGGCTACAGGATTTGCCCAGTTGGGAACAGCTAAGCAGTAAGTAACTATTGGCTTTAGATTGTATAATATTTGGCTTAAGCATAAGTTTATATGTAGCATTTCCCTTAAAAGTTAGTCCTGGTCTTGAAATACGATTATGAAGACCAAGCATGTTTCATTTACATTTTAATATCTACATAGATACGTATCAACAGTTTTATATTGTACTTTGTATCTGAATGCACATCTATATATTTGACAGCTATTTTATCTTTCTCAAAGATTATTTAGTGGAAACTTGAGGAAAAACTTGGAGTCAAGTTTTTCCCAACAGTCTAACTGATGCTTTTTGAACATCCGTTCTATGCCAGCCATTGTGGCAGGCACAGGACATAGAGATGGGAGATGAGGCGTTCCTAGTAGGACAGGAGGTGCAACACTGAGTTCAAGCTTGGTGAGGGGCTGTCAGGAGAGGCTATCTAGTGGAGGTGACTCCTTATCTGAACCTTGAAGGATTAGCTAGAGGAGGTGAAATGAACTTAGGCCAGGCTATTCAGGGAGAAAGACTAGCATGTCATGGAAGTGAAGGAGCACTGAGCATATCCAAGGATTCTAGAGAAAGAATGATAATACGACATTAAAAAGCCAGCGTTCCAAAATTCAATTACATTTAGCTCAATTCAGGCAACATTTTCAGCATAGCTACATGCACAGCTTTGTATTAGATGTTGGGCTACATAGATGGCAGAAAGACATATCCACATATAATTTTAATCAACTGTGACAAGTAACAACAGGAAGGTAAAAGACAGATAGTATTTATGAGGTGGTGAGGAACCCTGCAGGGTCCAAGTAGCTTTCAGAGAGGAAGAGAGGAATAGGAATGAAGCCCACAGAGGAGAAAAAGGAAATCTCAGAGGACACAGTATGTGTTTTGGTGGAGAGGCAGAAACAATCAGGCTATGTTCAGAGAACTGAATGTAGCTTGTTATTACTGAAATTTAGACTTGGAGTTGAGTTAAGACTGGGTAGGAAAGCAGAGGGGCAAGCAGGAGTCAGTGGGCTATGGAACCTTTGAGGGTTTGGAAGCAGGTGTGATACAATGGAGTGGGATGGTGTTTTAGAAGTTCCTGGGACTGCAGTGTGGGGGCAGACAGCAGGAGGATAAGCTCAATCTCAGAGAGAACTGGGAGATGGTGAAGAAGATGGAGGGGTGGGGTGAGTGGGTGCTTTTAAGAGATGTTAAGGATTGTAACTGATAGGGCTTGATGGTTGCTGAAAAGCCTGATGAGGAAGAGGGAGAGGTTAAGGATGAGCTCCAGGTTTCTGGTTTGAGTGACTAGGGGAATAGCTTGCAGCATGGCCACCCTCTTTGTACACACACACATCAGCTGTGTGTCCTTACTTCTTCCCCACTCTTTACCCCCATGCTAGAAATGAAAAACCTGGAGAAAACCAGGAAAAGGTCTCACGTTGCTCTGCAGTGTGGTGCTTGGTGAGTTCTATCCAGTGAGGTCTGATTCACAGGTTTTTCCAGAAAACACACAATGACAACCAGCACACGTACCATGTGCACACACCCCTTGTCTGGCTATACTGGGAAGTTTCCTATACTCTGACCACTTTCCTGTGCCCAGCTCTTTTTCTCATCTCTTGACCTACCTTGGTAGTTTACAGGAATATTTTTGGATGGTTCTGATATGTGATACCTCTGATATATGGCAATGTTTGGATGTTTGGAGATCTCTCTTCTCCTCCCCATCTCCCTCTCTGTTTTCCTTTCCTTTCCTTTCCTCCCCCTCTCTACATCTGTCCCTCCATTCCTCGCTTTTGTTCCCTTTCTCCCATTCTCTTCCTTCCCTCCCTCCCCCTCCCTCGTTCCTTCTTTCCTTCCTTCCCTTCCCTTTCCTTTCATTCCCTTCCCTTCCCCTCCCTTCCTTCCCTACCCTTCATTTCCTTCCCTTTCTTCAACTAACATTTATTTTACTGTGAACACATTATTCTAACACACACACAAAACCACCCAAGCAGAGAACTAGGCCACTTCCAGCCCTTCAGAAGCCTGGCTGACTTCACAGCCCTGGGAAGCCCACCCCAAACCCCTCCACACCTAACTACTATCTTGGCTGTGAGACTCTCTTCCTTCATTTTCTTCTCTGTGTTATCATCTAAGTACATTCCCCTAAACAAGAGTTTGGTTCTGCTTTTCGGCTAACATTATTCTTACAAATATCTTGATCCTGCCTCTGTCTCATGACACTGTTTATAAGATTCATCTACGTTGCTACATGTAGCTCTTCTGTCCATGGCATGCATAGACCACCGTGCTTTATTCCATTCTATTCTGATGGTCATTGGGTTGTTTCTAGGGGTGAGCTGGAACAAAAGTCCTTGAATATACTCATATATGTACCCTGGTCACAACTCATAAGTTCTCCCAGGACTCATATCTGGAGTGGAGCTGCAGGTCCTAAGTGTCTTCACTAGTGTTCCATATACCTGATGTATGGCCTTCCTCTCGCTCCACATCCTCACCAACATTTGGCATTGTCTCACCTCTTTGCTTTAACCTCTGTTTCCAAAATGCTCTTCTAAAAGAGACTTCCCTAGGTCGGTGGTCCACCCCCCTGATTCTCAGATGGCTTCTAACAAAGGACATAAACTTGTGAGTCACTCTGCTATGAGCCTTGCCCATAGGAGGACATGAGCAGTTCCCAAGTTGGAAGGCCAAAACTTTAATTCTGATGACTTAACAAAATTAAACTCTTTTCAGGTCGTAGTGCTTTATTATGGTGGCTCACGCCTCTAATCCTAGCTACTTGGCAGGCTGAGATCAGGAGGATTGCAGTTTGAGGCCAGCCTGGGCAAAAAGGTCATGAGACCCCATCTCAGTCAATAGATGTAGTAGTGTGCATCTGTCATCCCAGCTACGTGGGAGTCAGAGATTGGGAGGATGGTGTCTCCAGGCCAAGTTTGTGAGACCCCATCTTAATGGGAAAAAAAATTGGGCATGGTGGTGTGTGGCTGTCATCCGAGCGACTGCAGGCAGCCTCAAATAGGAGGACTATAATCAGGCTGGCCTGGGAAAAAGTGAGGCCATATTTCATAAATAACCAGGGCTGAAGGCATGGCCCAAGTGGTAGAGTACCTGCTTAGCAAACACAAAGCCCTGAATTCAAACTCCAGTATCACTGCCTTAAAAAAAGCAAAACTACTGGACACACCTTTTAAGAGATCATGTCACCCTGATTCCTGGTTTAGTAGCACTGTCTTTGTTGGCTGAGATTGTTTTTGGCAGTCTTGAGCTTGAATGTATTGACCAGCCCAAAGCCATGATCACCTAGCATGTTTGTCTTTTAATACTTGTCCCTCACAAACACTATCCATGGGACAAAGACAACAAACATCAAGTTTTCCCAGATCACATAGTACAGACCCAGCAGCTGTCCCCGTATGTGATACTCATGGACTTATTCTCTCTGGTGCCCTCACAGGGTTTGACCAGCTGACCTGGACTTGACCAACAGCCCTGTCCTCCATCACAGCCACCCCACCATCCTGGCTGACTAGGAAGAGAGTTTCCCTTCAAGATGAGCAAATGGAGGGGGCTTGCTTGTCTCCGGTCCCTGGTGGTTTCCTCACCCAGTATTCGTCAGAAGAAATTAACCCACAAGCTACAAGAGGAAAAAGCTTTTCGGGAAGAGATGAAAGTTTTCCGTGAGAAAATAGAAGACTTCAGGGAAGAGATGTGGAATTTCCGAGGCAAGATTCATGCTTTCCGGGGCCAGATCTTAGGTTTTTGGGAAGAAGAGAGACCTTTCTGGGAAGAGGAAAAAACCTTCTGGGAAGAGGAAAAAACCTTCTGGGAAGAGGAAAAAACCTTCTGGGAAATGGAAAAGTCCTTCCGGGAAGAAGAGAAAACTTTTTGGAAAAAATACCGTATCTTCTGGAAGGAGGATAAGGCCTTTTGGGAAGAGGACAATGCCTTATGGGAAAAAGACCGGAAACTTCTTCAGGAGGACAAAGCCTTGTGGGAGGAGGAAAAGGCCTTGTGGGTAGAGGAAAGAGCTCTCCTGGGAGAGGAGAAGGCCTTGTGGGAGGATAAGAAGTTCCTCTGGGAGGAAGAAAATGCCCTCTGGGAAGAAGAGAACGCATTCTGGGTGGAAGGCGGTCTCCATATTGCCGGGCAGCAGATGCTGGAAGACAGGCCCTACAACATCAGCAGAGGGGCCCGATCGCCAGCCTTGCTCAGAGGCAGGGCGTAGTGAGCACAGGAGATACAGGGCCATGGGTCCAGACGCCAGGGTGATCCCATGTGCTAGAGAAAATTGCACTTATTTGTCTCCTTGATTTGAAAGATCTAATAAAGTCCTGAGGAGAGGTTTGAAAAGCCAGCTCTTCAAGGAAGGCCAGCTGCATTTTTTTTCCAGATTCTGTCATTCTCAAAGTCATATTCCTGTCTTTCAGGCTGTATTGCTAGCCCCACAGCTTGGTCACAAGCAATTCCCAATGTTCCTGGCCTGTTTGTGAGTAGAGACACTGACTGTCTTCATGAGAGCGGGAATAGGGGAAGACAGGCTCACACAGTGACATCCACACAGACGGGCAGAGAGAGGCTGAGACATCCCTGCCTCTGTCACGTGGTGGGCCAATCACTTCTCCTTCTCTCTGTGTAGTCTGGGAGGGCTACATTTCCAGAAAAGGCCACATTGTTTTCAGTGATTCATTTGTGTGTCTTCCTCATCTGGTAGGCCAGAATCCCTTAAGATCCACTCACTGGCAGTTCCAAGTTCCCACCAAACTTCTCAGCTGCCATTAGGGCACTCAACATTGGCCTGTAGCTCAAGAACATCCTTTAAAAGTTCTGATCTTTTCTGGTGGAGACAAAGTGGACCCACGGGGTGACCTGGGAGAAATAGGAAGTCCTCTTTACCCTGCCCCTGCATATTCCCACCCTCATACATGTGTTTCTGTGTTGTAAATTCATTCCTTTGGATTTCTTGCCTTCATTCACTTAAAATTAAAATGTGCCAAGGAAATAATATGTTGAGTGTATGTACACTAAAGCAATCAAGCAATTTATGGGACTGGAGGTGTGACTCAAGTGGTAGAGCACCTGCTTTGTAAACATGAAGCCTTGAGTTCAAACCCCAGTCCTGACCAAAAAAAAAAAAAAAGCAATTTATGTATCCAACTTTTCTTCGGGGGGAGGAGGGAGATTAGATGGTCTATATGGGGACTTGGTATGGAAATGACCAGCAGTGGAAGAGTAAGAAACACTAAGAAAAACATCTGCTTCCTCTTCTCTTAGGTCCAGCTTTCATTGTTATTAATACATCAACTCACCTCACCTTTGTTGGCCCCCTACTGCTCAGTGAACACTTTCACACACTCCAACTCATGTGACCTTCCATGACCCTGTGGGTTGACAGGGAAATACATTCACCCATTGTACAGATGAGGAAACAGAGACCTAAGGCAAAGTTACAGCATGTAGCCAAGCATTAGTAAATTGAAGGGCCAGGACTAGAACCTACGCTATCTGCCTCTGGGTCCCATTCTTCCTCTAATACAACCTGGCTTGTAGCATTTGGCCTTAGAGTTCCTCAGCTAATAACAGCCCTCAACATTGCATGAGACTTAAGTGCTTTGGGATTTCACTGTGGTTTGGGGTAGAATGGAAGGATGGAGAGGACCAGGAACATTACAAAGTACTCTATATATGCTCAACAAACATTCTTGATACCAAGAAAGTGAGCCTGCTCCCTGGAGAAGCTGGGCTCTGGGACTCTACTCACTCTGGGAAATTCTGAGTTTTCCTTGAAGCCTTGGATTCTCAGAAGAATCAGGCCAGGGAAGTGAAAGCAGTTCTCTCATCCATCCCACACCATTTTTAGCTCCCTGTGGGTCTCTGGGCAAAGACCTCAGCAAGTCTGGTGCTAGGGTTTAGATAACTGTCTCCTTAAGGTCCATGTTTGAAAAGCTGGTTGTCAGCCTATGGTGCTGTTGGAGATGTTGGAACCTAAGAGGTGAGGCCTAGGGAGAGGAAGTTAGGTCACTGGGAGTGTGCCCTTGAAATAAATATTAGGATCCCAGTCCCACCCTCTTGCTTCCTGGCTGACATGAGGTGAGCATCTTCCTCTGTCACATGCTCCTGCTATGGTGTGTACCTCCCCACAGGCTCAAAAATAATGGGACCAACCAACTGTTGACTGAAACCTCTAAAACTCTGGGCCAAAATAAGCTTTTCCTATTTTTAAGTTGTCTCAGGTTTGTTGTTATAATAGGAAGCTGATGAGCACACGGGAGAGAACAAGATTTTGATTGGATAGATCTCAGAAGAGCCTGCCAGGGCCCACACTCAAGAAGATCTGCCCAGTGATGGGTAGGATGGCAAGAACACAGAATAGTAAAAAAGCTACAACAGTCCCCAGGGATTCTCCCAAAGTCCAAATCAAGGTAGTGATAATCTTAATATCAAGAAATGGGCCTGGGGATGTAGCTCAGTAGTAGAGTGTTTGGCTAGCAAGTGTGAGGTCCTGGGTTCAACCCCCAGCACTGAAAAAAAAGGTCAAAGAAATGTAAACCATGCAGAGGAAAGAAGTGGTAGCAGGCAATGAGTAGAAATGACCCCCTTAACAGTATGCCAAAGAAACTACTGGAAGAGACAATTGTCACTTGACAGAAGACTGGAGGAGCTCCCAGAGTGGACAGGCAGTCAGTCCCTCTGTGATGCCTTCACCCAGCAAACAGCTGTGACCTTTCACTGCCCTATCTCTGTCCTCCTGGCCTAGATGAGGAGATGGACTGGTAAATGGGACAGTGCATCAGGATGCGCCAAGTGCTGGGGGCTGGGAGAGGGGAGTGCCCCCAGAGTGGTCCTTTGCTCTCTTTGAAGCCACTCTGGGAGTGGTGGTAAGTGGGTGGAGTCTGAAAAGGTTTTCTAAGGTAGGTGATGGCTGGGAGAAACCTATCACTCAAGTAGGAATGGGTTAAAGGACGGGATAGGAACTAGGATGCATTCCTAGTAAAATGTGGTGATTTGAGGACCTGCAAACACTTCAGTGAACATGGGGGAAACACAGAACAGTGAACTGGAAAAGAGCTGTTGATATAAGGCCTTGTGGGAAATTGGGAGCCTTAAGAGTGACAAGGAAAGGAATGCCAAACTTAGATTTAAATTTCATT